AACTTGCCACCTTGTCGGGAAGCGGCATCAGGAATTTTTTTAAAGTGGAATCCTCGAATATGTCTCTCCTTTGTTCCAGGTTGTTTGGGTGGAGGAACACGACAAACGCTCGTTCCTGCTCGACCTGCTGAACGTGGCCGACATGCACCAGCCATCTGCCGAAAGCCTGACGCTAGTCTTCGTCGAAACTAAGAAGGGTGCCGACTCCTTGGAGGACTTTCTGCATCAGGAGGGCTACCCGGTGACCTCCATTCATGGCGATCGCAGCCAGCGCGAACGGGAGGACGCATTGAAGCAGTTCCGGTCCGGAAACACGCCCATCCTAGTGGCCACTGCGGTGGCGGCTCGTGGACTGGATATTCCTCATGTCAAGCACGTGATCAACTTCGATCTGCCCTCCGACATTGAGGAGTACGTCCATCGAATCGGACGTACCGGCCGTATGGGCAACTTGGGCTTGGCCACCTCCTTTTTCAACGACCGCAACCGCAACTTGGCCAGCGGCATGCTCGATCTGCTAGTGGAGGCTAAACAGGTGCGTTCGATCTTCCTTCTTCTGCAACTCAACCGAGAGTTGGACGGGTATTTTCTTTTAACTTCTTTTTGGGTATTTCGCCTCAATAATTTATTGCGAAATAGGAGCACTATTCATCAATCTGTAGCAAAAGACGTGAGGAAATTCTGTCTTTTTTAAAGACAAAATTATTGAGGCGAAATACCCAAAAAGAAGTTTGTAAAAAAAGGCGCAAGCAAGTTTTGACGGTTTGGCGATTTTCAGGAATTCCCATCGTGGCTGGAAGGCGTGGCGTCAGACAGCCGCCTAATGGGCTCAGGCCGAAGAGGCGGCGGCAAGCGGTATGGCGGCAACGGCGGCGGCAGCAGCTTCGGCAGCCGCGACTACCGCCAACAGAGCGGAAGCTCTCAGCGCTCATCGAAACCCAACTCGGGCGGAAACTACGGCGGCAGCAGCTACGGAAACGGAGGTAAGAATTGCGGTTTTTCTGTTGATTTGTGCGTGATAAAAGTGCTTTTTAACTAACGCAGGCATGGACCGCGCTAGTAACTTCGGCGGAAACTACAACTCCAACAGCAAGGACGACTGGTGGTAGGGGGCCACAGCAAACGGGGGGCGAACGACTAAACAGTGCATAAAAAATATATTCAGCTCTTGTACTATTTAGATTTGAGTACGACACATTTATTAACCATTAACCGAAATTGCGCTGATTTCAGGAACTCGTCGTAGCAATGCTATAGCTCATTGAATATCCACCATAAAAAACTAATGTGAATAGGTTTATTAGGGGGGCGGTCCAGCCGCTCATTCGTAATTTATTTTGTTAATTTGACCCCGCCGGTTTTCATCTATCACTTGCTTGCCGGCATATTTCACGTTTTTATTGTCTAATTCCCGAAAGCATACAGTGCAAGGCCCGAACGAAGCCCCAGTCCTTTGGGCTGGTCGCTTCGCTTGGTCCCGCTGTATAGTAATGCATACCGTTATTACTGTAGAGCATCAGAGTGGCAAAATAAAGCATTTCTATTAGTTAATCAGGCGTTGTTTGGATTGGGGCTCAGGAATGGAAACTCGCCGCTTATCAACATATTTGTATTTTCAAGTAATAAACATAAAAATAGTAGTCGTAGTACGTGAGCCGCCACTTAAAACCATCATCGAAAGTAAATAAATACACATTTTATACACAAACGGGCAAGTTTCAGACACACGAAAAACCAATATACAAAAATGTACAAAAACTACGCGCCGGCATCTCATCAGTATGAAAAATAAAAATTTGTACATCTCCAACACAGATACACAAGGTTTGGGGTACTACTAGGCCCGCCCTACTTGCCATTAAAGCGGCCGTTTGTACAAAAATAAGCCATCTCTACCTAAGTATAATACTGCCTGCATCCAGATCCTGGATAGCGTGGAAAATCCACCCAATCCGGAAGTTTCAACTGAAGGGACTTAGAGCTACGCTGAATCGAGGCTGAAATTGACCGGCCAATCAATTGCACCCCCTTCAATAACCTAGACCTTAACCGACACTAAACTCTAGCGATTTGTCTTGTGACTAAACAATCAATGGGGCGATCATTCAAAAGTACAAATCTTAGTATTGCTTTTCTCATAATCAGTCTAAAAAATAACGCAAAACAGCGCCTCCCATTGGGGCGGATAGAGGCGGAGCCGCAACATCCAGGTCCAGAACAGATGAAGGAGATCGAGGCAATGGGGGGCGCTGTTTCCTAATAAATACCGTAAAATCTACTCTACAAAAACACAGGGACAATGAGTATCATTTACAATACAGGGGAGAGAACTTAAACATAAATATCACGACGAAATCGGCACCAGAAGTGCGCTATTCGAGTTTTCGCAGCGGAAGCTTCGCCACTCAACTATACGCCCAAAACCCCCTTCAAATAACGATTTCCAGCCCTTTAGGGGGCCCCATTTGAGTCCAAAGCACCAAGTTAGGTGCACTCGATAATGTGCGGCTGGGAGGACTCGATCACGCTCGGCCTGCTCTCCTTTTGCTGCGCCTGACGCCCCATCTGATTGGTCTGGATCAGGCTGGAAATCGGCCTGCCAATCTGGAGCGCGCCGTGTTCCATCGGCTGGTGGTGCATGAAATGATCCTCTTGTGTCTCGCACAGACCTGCAAAGGAAATAGTCCTTTAGGGAGAATTTGTGCAAGTTGACAACGTCGGGATTAGTTACACAATAAATATCACTCGGTTTGACTTATCTGCTGTGTCAAATGTCCAAGAATTCTTGACACCGATCAAAGTGAAATGTGTTTTGGTGATTTTTCGATGAAAAATCCGTAAGATGGTGATGGCGAACCGACAACATGATGAAAGGTAAGTGGAGCATTAGAGAATCTGTTTGTATATGCGGGAAAAATAAATCTTGGATCGAGAGGTCAAGCTTCAACTTGTCAAACTCCAATTTGTGACTGATGCTCAGTCTTGCTATCTATTTCCAGTTTCAAATGAGAATTTCTGGAAAAATTATTACAGACATTTTTCTCGCCAGAAAACGACTCAATCTTGTACTAAAAAATCGTCAAAAACTTGCAAATTAGCGCACAAGCTGAGCAAATAGCAGACCGCTGCACGGACCCAGTTTTGCCTGACAAATTTTTCAACAATTTGCCACCGATGCTTGTGTTATTTTTAATCATTAATCATTTTTAGAAACCCCAAGTTTGATATTACGCGTATTTTTGGGGACACCCTGTGTAGCGAAAATAGCTTTAATGGATGGCCTCTATTATCTGCATAAAAAAAATGTCAATATTACACCGGTTTGCTATGTTCTTTCACCCCGTGTTATTTGCATCACCCTGTATATGTATAGTACATCTCTAGTGGTTTTATACCGGGTGTCCCGTAAGCACGTGATCAAAAGGGTACTGCGACAATCTTAGGCTCGAATGAAGACGCTTTTGTCAGAACAGTAATTTTCAGCCCCAACTTTACTCAGCTGGCAAAAATCAGGCTTTAGTGGCATTTTTGTGCAAGTTTCAGCGTTTGTAGATACAACTGTCTTCTAACGAGTGTGAAAGTTTCAAGTTGTTGCTTGCTCTACTTTGGGAGTTGTGAATTTTCAAAGAAGATGGCGCAGCGGGCAGGAAAAACTCGGTTTAAGCCCAACATTTTCTCATTTGAGAAAAATCAGGATTTAGTGGCATTTTTGTGAAAGTTTCGGCGTTTGTAGATACAACTGTCTTCTAACGAGTGTAAAAGTTTCAAGTTGCTACTTGTCCTACTTTGGGAGTTGCGAATTTTTAAAGAAGATGGCGCAGCTGGCAGGAAACACTCGTTTTAAGCCCAACATTTTCTCATTTGAAAAAAATCACGATTTACTGGCATTTTTGTGCAAGTTTTAGCGTTTGTAGATACAACTGTCTTCTAACGAGTGTGAAAGTTTCAAGTTGCTACTTGCCCTACTTTGGGAGTTGTGAATTTTTAAAGATGGCGCAGCGGGCAGGAAAAACTCGGTTTAAGCCCAACATTTTCTCATTTGAAAAAAATCACGATTTAGTGGCATTTTTGTGCAGGTTTCAGCATTCGTAGTGTAAACTGTCTTCTAACGACTGTGTGTTTAAGGAGCCCAAAAATATAAAAAGAGCATCAGCGCAGCAAATTGGCAAAAAATGAGTTGATTCTAGAAGAGAACTTCTTCTAGAAGACACTCAAGAACTCCTCACTCGCTCAAAGCCAAACAAATCGGGTGCTTTACGAAAATATGAGTCTTACATAAGAACAAATTCAAAGCGAGTCTGATTAAAATCGATCGTAGCATTCCCCTGCCAATTAGTTTTAAAACCTGCTAGGCCTGGGCAACACTGTGTTGAGTTGTGCTATTGAGTTGTTGCCGCTCTCTGAGTTAATGAGATATATTATTATTACATTATATTAAAAAGGAAAAAAGTCATAAACTTTTTCCAGCAACGGAACTGAGTTACTGCGCCAACTCCTAAAATTTCCCTGAGTTACCCAGGCCTAAAACACGCTCCGGAAGCGAAAGAGCCGACTGGAACAACGCTTGGTAGAAAATCTTGCCCCAAACAGCATTCTTACAACTTTTCCTATTAAAGTTCCATTTCCATTAAACTCAGTTTTAGTCCCAAAACCCCAATATTTGCCTTTCCACGCAGGGGCGGATCCAGATTTAAAGTCAGGGGTGGGGGGTTATGTAGAAAAAATACAGTCTTCTGTTATCTATGAAATTAGAAAAATGATCGTCGTTTTGTGGGTTTTGTGTGGCGCAAGATTATTGCAAAATTTCATGTTTTCCGTCCCGTTTTGCATGTTTCTCGGAAGCAAAATGAGCAAGAACGCTCGTTTTTACCTCATTCCAGAGATAACTAAATGGCCTTTATTC